GTTCCTCGGAAAGAATTTTTACGGGAAATTAACAAACGACCGGAGACGTAACAAAACTAATTTTTTACAGTTTTACACTGGCTGGTCCTTGACTTATTTTCACCAGGTAATTTGAAAGAACAACATTACAACAATAGCCTATTGTCTCGTATTTAGATTTTTTATAATAAATACCAAGTTTTTTAATAAAAGTATTCGTTTTGGGAAATGAGCTAGGGTTAAGACTTTTGATTAATTACTGTATAACACTTTAAAATGGTATAATAATTTCAGCACACAATTAAAAACGTTTACAAGTAAGTTTAGATCCGCGTCTACATTTGAAAAAAATTGCGTGGTTATCACGCTAAAGTTTAGGCTTCGATTCCTAGAGTTAAATCCATTGTGCAGCTTTGAGCTTAAAACAAGAAAAGATGAAATATTTCCCCGCGAACTAAGCTATGGAATACTAGTTTGAATAATCTCAAGGTTTTTGCCTTCAGGCCCTGTATCGACACAGCTGCTTAATGTAAATGTTACAGAATTTTATGTCAGTTACTGCGATATCATTTCTTTTTAGCTACGGTACGTTTAGATGATACAGGAGGTCAGGGATCACGTGTATCTGCCATGTATTGTTTAATTAGGGTTGGCAGTAGTTGAATGCTGGCAAACCGGTTTCTTAAGTGACAGTGAGAATGAAATTTAACAACAATTATCTATGAGACAGGTGAGTGATAACGTATATGAATATGCGTTCTATAAAGCGATAAGATAACAAATTGGAAAAAAAAAAGTTTGAAGGAACTTCAACAAGTTTTATGTGCGACAAACTGGGTTAACAGAAAACTAAATATTAATAATGAGCTCGTGCCCACAGTCTTCTTTCCCCTCGTGCATGTGTGGGCTATTTTCCTAAACAAGCTTTCTTTAGTCGTGATGAGGTTTAATGGTGGATTTTTCAACACATCAGCACGTGCTATAGGACGATGCTAAAAGTGGCTCCCCCTTGGTGTGATGTGCTGTATTCGGCCGAGGCTGCTCGATGACGACGACAGACGTTTTTCGAGTGAACGACGGTTGGTTCGTGGAGTCACGCGACTGCAGTAATCGAACTCTTCTCGGGTCTGAAGAGTAAACGAAATATTACGAATTTAACCGTTTATATTATACGAACGCAGTTTTCACCCAGAATACCATATTAGGTAAGTTGAAAGAGATATCTATATTTAGTTTTGATCAAACGTTCCACGTCTCGTGATTGTTGCACAGGCTTGAATCAATAACCATATATGTACAGTATGGGCGTGACCAGAAACTGGGAAAAGAGATGTTTTAAAATCTTCGTGTGTAAATATAAAAAGTAGTGGCATTGGCCACGTTCGGACTTTTTTTTAACAGCTTTTACAAAAATTTTGAAGATGATAACAAGCGTGTAGGAAACTAATCAAGTAGTAGTTTCACCGGAAAAAAAATTAACCTCCAATTATAGCAGTTAAAAAGATGGGGAAGATGGCGTGTGTAGACAGTTTGTACATCTCTTCCTTCGTATATGATGTCTAATGAAGAACACTGTTTATTTATATAGTTCAATTGGTTAACATAATATTATCAATTCGTATACATTTATTTGTGTATATATTAACGAAGAGTTTTAAATAGTGCAGTGTAACCAAAGGTGGAAATTTGTATGTGTTTTGATTGCATGTAAGTATTTATATACAGAAAAGGGAGACTCACATTACCGAAGTATGCGTATATATATATTATTAATGGTTACGAAAATCAAAGGAACACAAAAGTAATTAATATCAACAAGAATTGGAAAACCACTGGCTAGTTAAGGAACAGGATAGCAACAGGGACTCGATCCTTTGTACAACAGTCAAGATTACAGTGTAAGCTCAGGCAAATTCCATTGGTCAAAAGCTCAGCCGAATGTATTGGTTAAACTGGATCACAATACATTGTCATACCCGTAACTACTACATCAGGCATTGGTCAAGCAATATGTCTATGAGATTATTATTGGTGTGTGCTTCAGTTATCCAGAAGAGAGAGCAGTCCAGTCACTGGCAGTTGGCCTTGGAGGGATATATCATCTATGGGTGATACATAATAATCTTGGTGTGTGCTTCAGTTATCCAGAAGAGAGAGCAGTCCAGTCACTGGCAGTTGGCCTTGGAGGGATATATCATCTATGGGTGATACACCTTCCAACATCCCATCGGATTGTTTATAGACAGTAGGAAGGAATGGGGTTCCAGATTGCAACTGGTTCCTACACATTCAAGCTGTTTCCACTCAATGCTAACTATGACTTTGATTGTTAACCCTTGCCAGTGCTTTCATTGTCGTACTCTATGGAATTCTATTTACAAATTATTTACTAGTTTTGTGTCACAAATGACAAAGTTTTCACTGTATTGGTGACACTTTCCGCTTCCTCATAGTACAGGTATAACCTGCATTCCCATGCCTTAATATTGCATCTTGTATTCAAACAATGTTAAGAAAATACTTAAAACTGTTTGCTTGTTAAGAAATATTTCAATCTGCATGACTGAAAATATTCTCTCGCAACCAAATAAATCACTTCACACACCACGTGTTGCTATGCTGTCTAAGTTTAAGTTTCGTTAACTACTGATAATTTACCTATTCATGAATATTTCAACTTGACTCGGTTGAAATATCATCAGCGCTATTTATGAAAAACCACAGATGAAACTGTTTTTCTTTTTCTCCCAGCCGTGGCATGGCCTGCTGATTAAGGCACTCAACTCGCAATCTGAGGGTCGCGGGTTCGAATCCCATCCATGAACATGCTTGCCTTTTCAGCCGTGGGGGTGGAATAATGTAATGGTCAATCCCACTATTTGTTGGTAAAGAGTAGTCCAAGATGTGGAAGTGGTTGATGTTGAATAGCTGTCTTCCCTCTAGCTTATCACTTCAAAGTTAGGTACAACTAGCACAGATAGCCGTTGAGAAGCTTTGTGTAAAATTTCAAAACTTTCTCTTTCAATGACAGTGTGAGCCTTTTTTATTAATCTTATTTCTTCCATAAAAGTTCAGTACCTGCCAAATATTTAAATGCCAAAATTGAAAGATTATAGTATTAATGAAAATAATAGATACACTGCATTTTCCAATAATACTTTCTCAGTTAGTTATTAAAGTTAACCTCATATTTATCAATTCTTACCACTGAGACAGTGCTTATTGTTTTCTTGTTGTTTTACCTCTTGTAGCTCGTACATTCAGCATATTGCCCAGGTCAAAAATGTTGTGAATATAAGGTGGCATGCTGTATAAAGTTGTTACCTTTCAGCTAGATTGTGGGAGTGATTTTCTTTAAATGTTTTATGATGTTTTGCAACAGAATATTCATTCAGTGGGTCGGAAAACAAAGGCCACAACAGCCTTTCAGTCACTGATTTTTCAATCATATGACCATCTTAATTTTGTAAGCAAGTGGAATTCACACAAATGCCGTGCACACATTATACAAGGTCATCATCTGACAGCCTAGAAAGCAAGGAACGTCACTTCCTTTCAGTCTATGATTGTTCAGATCAATGATTTTCCTAACTACTGATGTTGACCAGGTATATTCTCTTGTTCTACAGATATCCCACTTCCTTTCAGTTTGTGATTGTTCAGATCAATGGTTTCCCTAACTACTGATGTTGACCAGGTATATTCTCTTATTCTACAGATATCCCACTTCCTTTCAGTCTGTGACTGTTCAGATCAATGATTTTCCTAACTACTGATGTTGACCAAGCATATTCCCATGTTCCACAGATATCCCACTTCCTTTCAGTCTGTGACTGTTCAGATCAATATTTTCCCAACCACTGATGTTGACCAGGTATCTTCTCTTGTTCTACAAATATCCCACTTCCTTTCAGCCTGTGACTGTTCAGATCAATGATTTTCCTAACTACCGATGTTGACCAGGTATATTCACATGTTCTATAGATATCCCACTTCCTTTCAGTTTGTGATTGTTCAGATCAATGATTTCCCTAACTACCGATGTTGACCAGGTATCTTCCCATGTTCTACAGATATCCCACTTCCTTTCAGTTTGTGACTGTTCAGATCAATGATTTCCCTAACTACTGATGTTGACCAGGTATATTCACATGTTCCACAGATATCCCACTTCCTTTCAGTCTGTGACTGTTAACATCAATGATTTCCCTAACTACTGATGTTGACCAAGCATATTCCCATGTTCTACAGATATTCCACTTCCTTCCAGTCTGTGACTGTTAACATCAATGATTTCCCTAACTACTGATGTTGACCAAGCATATTCCCATGTTCCACAGATATCCCACTTCCTTTCAGTTTGTGATTGTTCAGATCAATGACTTCCCTAACTATTGATGTTGACCAGGTATATTCACATGTTCTACAGATATCCCACTTCCTTTCAGTTTGTGATTGTTCAGATCAATGATTTCCCTAACTACCGATGTTGACCAGGTATATTCACATGTTTTACAGATATCCCACTTCCTTTCAGTTTGTGATTGTTCAGATCAATGATTTCCCAACTACTGATGTTGACCACGTATCTTTCCATGTTCTACAGATATCCCACTTCCTTTCAGTTTTTGGTATCTTGACCAAATTATGGTCCTCTTTATGCCATGGGTGTCCACTATCTTTCCTGCTATAAAAACAGCTTTAGCTAGTGGAGGTCGTCTACCAGCAAAACATTCAGTTCTTTTTGACTGTCAATCTGTGGTCTGCATCAGAGCTGTGACTGTTATGCTCCAGTTGGTGACAGTCTTTGGTTCCTGTACAGATCTCCCCGAATGGTTTCGGACTCGACAGGTGCCAATCCACATCGACGAACCTCCGTTATCCCTAAACTCTCCCTTTTGGTTGTCTCGAGTAGTTCTACATCTAGAACAAGCCATACTTTCTGTAATATCGTTACTTTAAACTGTTTCCAACTCAAGAGACCAAGCAAGGCTTATCACACTTGCTTAACATTCGCTGTCTTAGACATCTCATTGTCGTCTCCTCCATCAAATAAAGTAGGCCTGTACATTTTCACAAACAGGGGGGAAACGAAGTTTAATATGAAAAATGTAGTGAGAGACAAAGGTCACAAGGTCACACTGGAACGAAAAAGGTCCAGCGGATTTAGACCAGTGCTAAAAACTCCATAGAAACACTAAAATTCTATATCACTAAAGATGGTGAAAAATTAGGATATACTAGCATATCAAATATGTCATTATATTAATCAAATAATATTTCAAACATACTTAGCATCTATTTTTTGAAGTTATGTATTGTGTGTGTGAAGAGTAAAGAATAACTGTCTCCACTTTAGAGGAACGTAGAACTATGTATTGGAGATATATGGAGTGCATAAATAATGAAATTCAATGGTGCCCGTGCAATCTAATAAATATTGCTCTGTATATAGTAATATCAGTACTTTAATGTAGATCTAGTCTGGTTTGGGGATAAGTAATATTTAAAAACAAAGTAATGTGTTTTTGTGATTTTCAATAAACAATTACAGTTCAAGCCAGATTCCTTGCACAGCACGTTTTCCAGTTAACATATAGGTGAAACGATTCATTGAGAACAAAATTACTAGTACTCAGTAAGTAACCATTACTGTTTTTGTTTTTTACATTAGTGTAGCCCCCTAGTGGCACATCGGTATGTCTGCGGACTTACAACGCTAGAATCCGGGTTTCGATACCCGTGGTGGACAGATCACAGATAACCCATTGTGTAGCTTTGTTCTTCATTACAAACAAACACACATTACTGGGCGAGGATATGTCAAAAATGATACGTTATCGTGGTGCCATGTAATTATGCTTTGTTTGTTTGTAGTTAAGCACAAAGTTATACAATGGACTGTCTGCTGTTGTTCCTTCAACCAGAAGTCAACGAGCATCCGAGTGTTTTTATTGTAAGGTTCTGTTGTTACTGCGTTGTCAAAACGAAAAGTCCCAGTGGTATACCGGTAAGTCTATGGACTTCATCGCTAATATCCGGGGTTCGATTCCCCGTGGTGGGTACAACAGATAGCCCATCGTGTAGCTTTGTGCTTAATTACAAACAAACAGATAAATGAAAATTTGACAGTCGTATTACAACCCACCTCTTTATCCGCAAGTAACGAATATATTAACGTAAAACAACATTTAATTAATCGTGT